TCGTGCCCCTGCCACTGCTTCATAGGCTGGCGCCCTCTGAGGCCTGGGAAGGGCTTCAGAAAAAGCACACCCTTCTGCTCAGTGCCATGTCTGTGGGCGAGGACCGAGTGGGGCTAGGGACCTGGAGAGTTTACCTACTTGGTTTTCAGTTACCCCCTCCTGGCAGTTCTCACCGTCTCTAATGGCAAAGCCCATGTCAGAGCGGCCTCTGGCCCCTGCCACAACCGCCTGAGGCCTGCAGTGTTGTTACCTGGTGTTCACCAGAGAACTTGCAGCTCAGAGAGGAGAGGGACTGACCCTGGATCACACAGCGCATCCTAGCTCTCTATTCTGTGGGGATCCAAAACCTGTGATGCATGAACTCCGGCAGGGGCCCCCCACCCCCTCCAGGTGGCTCACCTGCATGGATGGAGCGGATGGCGTTCTTGTCTGCCTCTAGGAAGGACACCAGGGCCACCATGACACCCATCGTGCTGGAAAGCGCCTCCTCTGACCCGTAGCGGGAGTACACAGGCTTCCCGGCCTCGCTCAGCACGAAGACGTGTTTCTGGTGCAGGCGCCATGCCTCCGCGGCATCATCCTCCTCCCCCTCGGCTGAGCCCTCCCTGGGGGACTCTGAGGCTGGTCGCCCGGCTGCCCCTGGGGGCTCTAGCCAGTCCTCAGAGCTTCCGGGCAGCATTTCCTCCTGCAGGTCCCGGGCCACGCCCGTCAGCTGGGTGCTTAGCTCGCTAAAGTCCTGGCTGATCTGACGCATGTCTGCAGGCAGTGGGGGGGGACCCCCAGCACCCTCCTTAGGGCTGTCCCCAGAAGCTGCCCCATCCTCTGACTCGGTCAGGTCCTCATAGGAACGGGCATGGACGAACATGGCACCCTCCTGAGCAGCACCTGCAGGCCAAAAGCACGCTTAGAGGGGTGGCCTCTGGCAGGGTCAGCAAGGTCCCTACCACGGTCATTCTAGCATCATGGCCTGTGCCCATGGGCTCAGCCGCTGTTCTCTCCTGCCACTGCCAGCCACGGATCACGCTTCGCTACAATGCACAGCTCACCAGCATCCTCCCATCACACTAGAATAAGGCCCAGCACCTCACAGCAGCAGCAGCGGCTGGCATCTGCCTACCCCTCACTCCCTTCCCACAGTACACTCCCTTGTCCATCCCAGTCACGCTGGCCTTTGTGCACCTGCTCTCTGGACACCCTCAGAATGCCCACTGGCTCAGGAGTTCGGCACCTGCCACCTGCCCGGAAGGCACACCCACCTCCCCGCATAGCCAGCTGCTTCCTGTGCTTCAGCTCTCAGGGAAGATTCTCGTTTCCTCTTCACCTAACTTCTAACCCCAGCACTCTGCCCTCTCTCCCACTTTGATTTTCCTTGTGGCACTTGCCAATTATTGTCCTCACTCCCCCTCAACTACAATGAGATCCCCCAAGGACAGGAATCCGGTTGTTGACTGCTGTGTGTCCAGTCCTTGCCCTGTGCCTGGAGAGCCTCCCACACTTACTCGGTGAGTCCCTCTACCCGGAGAAGGCTCCCTCGCCCAGTTCAGGCCGTAGCTCCTGACTGACGCTACTAGCCTGTGACTCCCCCAGGGCAAGGCCCATGACCGTCTTCCTTTACTGATTTCTTTCCATTGCCAGAGGGCACATGTACTGTCAGACAGAGGACCCCCAATGGAGCGTGGTCACGCCGCAGTCCCGCTCCTCCACTGCACCACTGTCTCAGGACTTGGGGCGAGCACACACGTGTCCAGTGCCAGTGTGTTTGTGTTTACGGCTGGCCAGCCACATGGGATCCAGCTCCCTTAACCACCGTGCTATAGGGCTGAGCCCTTTACTGACTGCTTTGACAAAACAGTTCAGCTGATGTATTTTAAGTCTTCATTGTGAGCACCAGACATTGGGAATATGATGCCCTGTGCTCAAAGAGCCCACGATTTGTGATACAGAAAGATGGGCGATACATACGTAAACTCATAACATTGCAAAGGAACTGGGGTCCCATACACAGTGTGGTTGGAGCTGGCCTGACTGTGAGGAGGTGTTTCAGGTTGAGAGCTGAGAAGGGGAGAAGCCAGAGAGATGCACTAGAGACAGAGGAATGGAAGAGAACCCACACGGCTGAGCAACTAGGCAGACGGCACAACATGGAGTGGAGAAACATGCAGGTGTAGACAGAGCCCAGCTCCCTGCAGTGTCCCTGCACCCGACAAATATCCAGAGAGCATCTTAACAAATGCATGAAGGAGTGGGAGGGCAAGAGCAGCCGGGAGCCCCGTTCCCTGGAGGCCACTCCAGCTGGCTGGGGCTGCACCTCGGCCCATACCTGGCTCCATTCCCTGGGCCAGTCCAGGTGTGGGGCTCTCGGCTCTCTCCACACTCTGTCCATCAGAAGGAGCCAACGTGCCATCGGGGCATTCGCCGCTTCTCTTCCTCTGCATGTCAGCTGCCATCCTTTGGGCTCTCCTGAGGGGCAAAACAAGCATCATTGAGGAGCAGAGAAGCTGTCGGCAGGGTTGCTGGCATAATTACCAGTGGTAGGTACAAGGACGCGTCTCTTTCCAGGGCATCATGAACTCAACTCCCTGGGGGTAGGGTCTGTGTGTTCCCATCTAATAAGTTTCATTCCTTTTCTAACTACAAAAGGAAGACATAGTCACTGTAGAAAACTTGGAAAACACATAAAAATATAAAGAAAAAGATGTCACCATTTTCCCACCATCCAGGATCTTTCACTGCTCACACTTCTGAGTAGTTTCTTTTCTTTTCTTTTCTTTTTTTTGGAGAGGTTTATGCTATAGGGCGTGTGCACTTGCCAGACAGACAGAGAGATAGAAAGCGAGAAATCACCCCCGAGGGGGGATGGCCACGCCACAATCTATTCTCCATTCTCCTCTCAGGATCTTGGGCACGCACACACATGTGCCCAGCGTGAGTTTAATCCACTGGGTCTGAGACTCGAACCACGAGTCCAGTGACATAGCCATTACGCTAACTGCTGATCCCGAGTAGTTTATTTTCTTTAAAATAATTATATAGGGACCAGCAAGTGGCGAGGTGGTTAAGGTGCTGGACACTCCAAGATGGCCGACCATGGTTCGCGTCCTGGACCTGGAGGCGTGCTTTCTCACTTTCTCTCTCTCTCTCTGGTCCAGTTAAAATAATAATAATAATAATTTTAAAAATTAAATAATTATTTTTAAAAATTATATATAAAATGTAAATAAATTTTTGTTAAGGTGTTTTTCCCATAGGGTATGTGCATTTGCTAGAGAGAGACAGAGAGAGAAAGCAAGAAATCACCCTCAGGAGGAATGGCCATGTCACAGTCTCTTCTCCTCTACTTTCCTCCTGGGATTTTGGACAAGCATGCACACATGCCTGACATGCGTTTCAAGTCACTGGGCCTGGGACTTGAACCACGGTCAACTATATAGGAGTCTAACGCTTTAACCACTATGCCACCTGCTGTCCTCTGTAAATATTTTTTTCAAACAAACTGGTAAGAGCAGCTAACATTTTTTGAGTGCTCAGGTAGCATGCTAAGACGTTCATGGGGATTATGTTATCTAATTCCGTTCTCTCCCATGTGAGGCAGGTGCTCCTGTCAGTCTAGCTTTATAGATGAAAGAACGGAAGCGGGAGAGTTTAATAGATTGCCCACTGTTATTACAGGAAACGCTGGTTCTAGGAAGTGAAACAATTCTGTGTCCAGACATGGTCCACTCCACACCCCACCCAGAACAATTTCCCCATTCAAAACTGAGTTGACTGACAGTTCCTTTTGGATGTTTACTTGAATGCAGAGAAAGTGAGACATAGCAGATAGGCTTCTCTTCAGGTTTGAGCCTGGCTTTCTTCTTTTCTTTTCTTTCTTTCTTTCTTTATTTATTTTTGAGAGGTTTTTGCTATAGGGCATGTGCACTTCCCAGAAAGACAGAAACAGGGAGACAGAAAGTGAGAGATTACACCCTGGGGGATGGTCATGCCGCAGTCCCTTCTCCTCCATTCTCCTTTCAGGATCTTGGGTAGGCATGCACATGTACCCAGCGTGAGTTTAAGCCACTGAGTCCAGGATTCGAACTGTGGTCGACTACATGGGAGTCCAGTGAATAGCCATTATGCTAACTGCTGGTCCCATGTAACATCTTAACTTTTTTTTTGAGAGGTTTTTGCTATAGGGCGCATGCGCTCGCCAGGAAGAAAGAGAGAGACAGAGAGATAGAAAGCGAGAAATCATCCCCCGGGGGGGATGGTCACGCCGCAATCCCTTCTCCTCCATTCTCCTCTCGGGATCTTGGGCATGCGCACACACACGTGCCCAGTGAGTTTAAGCAACCAGGTAAGGGACTCGAACCACGGTCGACTACATGGAAGTCCAGCGACATAGCCATTACACCAACTGCTGGTTCCAGCCTAGCTTTTTTCTAAATATCCTTTTGTACCTTTTGAATTTGGCATAATGGCTTCCCTGATCAATTAAAAACAACTACAGATGTGACGACCCTCAGTGCCCATCGGATGGTCAGCGCCAACTTGGCCCGACCTCCTAGTCCTTCCACAGTCTCAGGGCCAGGTGGAAGTGGCCACAGTGGACGTGAGGGGTAGCAAGATAGCTACCTTGGCTGTGTCAGCCTCTAGGGTCCCTGATGGCAGGCTGAAGGATTTTTTTTTCTTTTTCTATTTTTTGGAGAGGTTTTTGCTATAGGGCACGTGTGCTCACCAGAAAGAGAGAGACAGAGAGACAGAAAGTGAGAAATTACACCCCCCCCCCCGAGGGGGAGGGCCCCGCCACAATCCCTTCTCCTCCATTCTCCTCTTGGGATCTTGGGCATGCATGCACACGCTCCTGGTGTGAGTTTAAGCCACTGGGTCCAGGACTCGAACTGTGGTCAACTACATGGTAGTCCAGCGACATAGCCATTATGCTAACTGCTGGTCCCAAGGGTTTTCACCTGTCAGGCAACACACAGTCCATAGGAGAGAGGTTCCATCGCAGAATCCTTTAGGGGAGAGATAGCTGGATGGGCTAGCAGGGCAGTGTAGACTAGTCATACTCACGAGGCAGGGGCTTGTCAGCAATGGGTGTCAGCATGAGCCAAGCAGACCTGAGCCGGCCCTGTGCCGAGAGCTCAGAGCACTGTGGGAATAACTGAGGACCCATCTCTCACTAGCTCTGTGACCTTAAGCAACTGACCACTGTGAATGGAGCACCAAGCAGGTGCTCTAACAAGTTCGTGCAAAGTACTTGTTCATGCAAAGGGAGTGTAAAAAAATAAAAATGTTTTAAAGAGAGGGAGGCTGGCCCATGGCATGGTGGTTAAAGTGGCTGGATCGCACATGACCAACCTTGTGGTTCTAGTCCCAGACCCAGCAGCTTGAAAAACACTGGATTCGTGTGTATGTGCACCCAAAATCCTAAAAGGAGGGAGAAATGGAGGAGAAAGCAAGGCCTGGTCATTCCCCAGAGGATGAGCTTTCTTGCTTTTTCTCTTTCTCCATCTCTCTCTGGTGAGTGCATGTGCCCTCTGGCAAGTTACCAAAAAAAAGCGTAGCATTTGTGTGGCCCCAGTCTGTCTCTTTCTCTGAGAACGCTCTCTCTGGGAACTCCTGGAAGCTCCTGTCAGGCAGTTCCTGCATGTGTACCAAAGAACTGAGTGTCAAGTTCTTTTTTCTCATCCTTTTTTATAAGAGAGAGAGAAAGGGAGGGATAGAGAGGGAGAGAGAAAAAGGAAGACAGAGGTAAGAATTCAGCTTTGGGACCAGCAGTTGGCATAATGACTATGTTGCTGGACTCCCATGTAGGTGACTGCGGTTCAAGTCCCGGACACAGTGGCTTAAACTCATGCCAGGTGCGCGTGTGCGTGCGTGCCCAAGATCCCGAGAGGAGAAAGGAGAAGGGATTGCGGCGTGGCCATTCCCCTGGGGGATGATTTCTCACTTTCTTTCTCTCTGTCTCTCTCTATCTTTCTGGTGAGCGCAAGTGCCAAGTAGCAAATCTCTTTAAAAAAAAAAAAAAGTCGGCTTTTATTTATTTATTTCCTTTCATTGCCAGAGAGTATGTGTACTTTCCAGAGAGAGATGAAGAGAGAGAGTGGGCAAATACCCCTAACGGGGTGTGGTCATACCACACTCTTTTTCTTCCATTTCTCAATCCTATCCAGAGTTTGAGCTTGCATAGGCACACAGTGTGTTTTTCAAGGCACCCAGGGCTGAGACGTGAACTGTGGCTCCCCCACCCCCAACTGCTAGGCTATGGGGCTGGCCCCTACTGTATGCTATTAAGGACAGTAGGGGCATGACCAGAGCCTGTAGAGGGTGCTCATGTCTCTCTCTCTCTCACGTATGTGCACACACTACTGTGAATACAGAAAAGAACTCATGGGAGCAGTGGAGAGGCTGTGAAGAAGACACCAACTGCATACCAGAGGTCCACGGGCCCCACACGCTTCCCTGCCCCCGGCCATGTCACTGCCTGGCCAGTCTGGACTCTGACGTATTTAGGAGCTGCTGTGTGCCCTTCAGCTCTGTCTTCCCCTGGTAGGTGGTAGGGATGGCAGGTGTTCCAAATGGCAACAGGGTAAGCTGTGGGCAGTCTGGACACCCGAATCACTGCTAGGAAGGAAGTTGCCCTGAGTTGCCACTAGACCCACAGTAGATTTTGCATGGGCAAAAACAAACCTTTAGGGGCCAGCAGGTGGCAAGGTGGTTGAGGTGCTGGATTCCCACATGGCCTACTGTGATTTGAGCCCCAGACCTGGTGGCTTGCTTTCTCACTTTCTCTCTCTCTTTCTCTCTTTCTCTGGTGAGTACATGTGCCTTGTAGGAAACTTAAAAAAACTAATAATAAATGGGACCAGCAGGTGGTGTGGTCCCCGAGGGGGATGGCCACGCCACAATCCCTTCTCCTCCATTCTCCTCTTGGGATCTTGGGCATGCATGCACACGCTCCTGGTGTGAGTTTAAGCCACTGGGTCCAGGACTCGAACTGTGGTCAACTACATGGTAGTCCAGCGACATAGCCATTATGCTAACTGCTGGTCCCAAGGGTTTTCACCTGTCAGGCAACACACAGTCCATAGGAGAGAGGTTCCATCGCAGAATCCTTTAGGGGAGAGATAGCTGGATGGGCTAGCAGGGCAGTGTAGACTAGTCATACTCACGAGGCAGGGGCTTGTCAGCAATGGGTGTCAGCATGAGCCAAGCAGACCTGAGCCGGCCCTGTGCCGAGAGCTCAGAGCACTGTGGGAATAACTGAGGACCCATCTCTCACTAGCTCTGTGACCTTAAGCAACTGACCACTGTGAATGGAGCACCAAGCAGGTGCTCTAACAAGTTCGTGCAAAGTACTTGTTCATGCAAAGGGAGTGTAAAAAAATAAAAATGTTTTAAAGAGAGGGAGGCTGGCCCATGGCATGGTGGTTAAAGTGGCTGGATCGCACATGACCAACCTTGTGGTTCTAGTC